TGCTTAGTTTGTTAGGAACAGCACAGGCGTTCATTTGTTAGTTTTTTTTTTACAATTTTCTATCGCCACACAGAATGGCTTAAATATGCAAAATAATTCAGACTACTTCTTGGGCATCTAGGACTGCTGAAAGGACTTGATGATGCCGGGACAGGGCCTTGGGGAAACTCTGACAGCTTCAAGCGTGTCGAGAAAGCACCGTGTCACATTTCGGTCCAACTAGGCTTGGGTGGCACAAACCAGCTTCTGCAAGGCCGGTGGTGAAAGCCACGTAGCAGTGCATAACACGCAAAACGTACATGCTCTGCCTCTGTATGTGGCTGATCTGACTTAAATAGGTAGAAAATGCAGCCCAACTACGCTTTGGCCCGGTTTTCGGCAGGAATTTGGCACCTGAGCAAGAGAAAGCTCGTTCCACATTCACTTTTTCTGAGGTAACAACGCTGTGAAATAGCCCAAGAGCCCGAGTGGTAGCACGTACAAGCTGTAGTCAGCCGCTGGCAGGGTTATTTCTGGCTTCGCTTCTTGTGAATTATCTACAATTTGATGATGGTTTTGACTCCTGGCACCTGCCAGTATTACTTAATTACCGAAAGTAATAAGTCGTAGGAGATTTAAATTGGTTCATTGGGAGCCGCACAGTCAAATCGCAGCGCCAAAAGCGTTTTTTGCCACTATACCGCACCAGCCAACAAGATGTTTATGTCCACTTCTTCGGAGTTTTCAATGCTTGGCTCGTTAGCTATTACTTTTGGATCCTGGTTCCTCTTCTTAGTTTACAGTGCGGATCAGCACGCTGCTGCATTCTCGAAATCTCATTTCCTCAGATTAGTTCAGGCCTGTTTCAGTTTTTCCGAGAAATGGCATCGTGCTGGATAAGCGCAGCACAGAATGAGCTTGGCATCTTCCAGCGTGATTCCGAGTTTGTCTCGCCGCTCAGTTTGCAATACTGTTCACCACCAAAACGGCCCTACATTCTTCCGCACAGCATTTGGATTGATGTATGTTGCGCA